TATGAGCAGCTCACTGAAGAGTTCCATTACATAGAATCACAGACACTATGCACTCGACTCGTTTTTAAAGAATATTTAATGCCACCTCCATAGATGTACAATCCAAATACTGCCATTATCATTCTTCAGGTGCTACAGAGCAAGCAAACCATTTTTCACTAATGTATTTTCCACTCAAGTAAGAACTATAATTGCTGTTTTTATATAAAAAATATATTTTTTTATCTCACACAACTTTCCATTATGAGTGGCATATTAATAGCCTACTGGATAAATATTGTTTAGCCTATAGTTCAAAAATATTTTTTAAGTAGTAAGAATAAATTACATCTTGAGCAAAAATAACAAAAACATAATCATGTGTCTTATTTCAGAAGACTATGAACATGTGTACACCTCAGGATGTTTTTCACACAGTACATTTCTAGATAAAGCAAGGCAGATTCATACCTTGATAGAGAATCTTATCACAGATTCTAAAGAATAGATCTTGAAGTGTTGTTTATGGGCCTAGCTCCCCGCCCACTGTAACACCGCTGAGAGCTCACTCCCCCCTCCGAACCTCTCTCCTTTCTGACAGAAGGCTGCTGCCCACCAACAGACCACTGTTGCTAACTGCAGTTCGCCTGACCTCTGCAACATCTGCTCTTTCCCCTTCTCTTCCCGTCCTTTGTGAAAACAGTTTTCTTAGGGTTGGGAAATCAATTAGGACTTCACGGGTGTACTTTGTGTTCTAAACTTCTCAACTGTTCATATGATTGATGGACGCCTGGCGGCTACCTCTTTATCTCCAGAAACGCATTTGGCTGATGTCCAGGTGCAGAGATATTCCAGAGAATTTCTTATCCGTTATCATATCACCCTTAACCACAACTATTTATCTGGCTCCCACCATATGTGCAAGGAATCAGCACTGTGCAAGGGATCAGTGATAAAAGAGATAGTGAGAGAAATGTATATAATTATGATTAAAAGCAGGATATGCAGAATCACACTGTTGCTGGTAAGTAGAAAGTCCAAGAACCAGAAAAATGGGCACCACGTTATGGAAAGAGTAATGTGGAACTAAACTTTAAATAAAACATGACATGGACAAATGGAGGCGGCATTCAATGAAGCAGAATGCTGGAGCTATTATTTAGCTAAAGCCACCAGAACAAAAGAAGAAAAAAAATCTTTTTTGGTGTTATAGAGTTATACTGCATGCAAATAGTTGAAATGACATACATCTTCAAACTTAATTATTAGAGGAAATATATTAGTTAATAAGCATAAAATATGTTAAAAACATGGTTTCCTATATTTGGTACAAAAAAATCAATAAAATAAAATCACAGTAAATAAGATCTAAAACTGTATATCTCAATTCCAATAGCATAAGAAATTAGTATATATATATGTATATATATATATATATATATATATCCATCAAAATCAACTGTTGAAGGTTATAAACTATAATTTAAACGCCAAAAAGCATTTTTTTCAAGTTTTTATAGGGATTTTCCTTCAAAATATATACTTACCATGTATGTAAAATAAATTAATTTCCTGAATTAGAAGACCTGTTTTTTTTAAGTATATACCCAAAGCTAGATGTTAGCTATTCTTTTGGTTTAATTGTTTGTTTTTAACTCAGTATAACAGCTGTCTAAAACTTGTGAACAAAGACCTCATTCCTAAGTGGACAAAGATATACAATATCATATTCTAAAGTTTTACATATGCCTTCTTTTTTTCCCCCAATTGACTAATATCATTTTTAAAAGTTAACCATCTGGTTCCTTTAAAAAGAGTAGTATTTCAAATGTCACTGTTTCTGAAAGATATAGACAGATATAAAAGGTGAAGCTATGTTAGATATATAAAAAAATAGAGGAAGTAATATTTAGGGAAAATTATCCCTATTCCCTCATTAATAATCATATTCTAAAATCATGACAACCAATTAGAATTATAAACTCTAAATATTATTAAATACAGCATGAACATAATTAACACCATCCTGAGCAACTAGGTGGTCCAATAATTTTGAACCTCCTTTTTTACCTCTGAAAAACTGATCAGGAAATCTGGCTAACATCCCAAACAAACGGCATGGATTTAATTGGATGGACTTCAGCTAATTTCTGTAGTCTTGTACATACACCAAAACCGCATTCTCTAACTGAATTAACTTTGTTGGAATTGTTTAGTCAGAGGCCCAACAGGAGAGTTTACAATGTTATTTCACTGTTATTACACTGTTTTACAGTGTTCAGCTTCAAAAAATCAAAAATCCTACATCTCAAAACTAAAATATTGTCATAATATGTGTCAAAACAAGCACAGAAGAGCCTTATTTCGAATGGGCCTCACAATGCTGCAATGGCTTCGATGGTTCTGTTTCTTTTTATTTCTGTCTTTCTTCGTTGGCTGTTTTTGATGTTTTGTTTGATAAATATGTCATACACCAAATTCAGTTAGGTCTATAAGCAAAAGCAGAGACCCAAACACTGGACACAACCTTGAGGCCACCAGGAAAAATAAACTAGGTCACACAGTCAGCCTCAAAAACCAAAGCATGCCTGACACCCAGGAAAACACATGATTTTTCAGACATTTCCTGCTTGTCATTTGTAGTTACACAAAACAATAATCAAATCATGTGCTCCAAGAAACAGGAAGGGGGGGATAAGCAAAATACACCAAAAGTCCCTGAAGTCCCTGTTTGGAAAATATATCGATCAGCATTCATTTATTTTATTATACAAAAGAAAATTAGGTTGAACTAAACATGAGGTTTTAGAGGTAATGCTATATCTAAAATGTTATATTTAAATCATACATGTTTTCTTCTATACAATTTTACTTGTCTTCTGTGAAATTTTATTTTTATTGAATTTATTGGGATGACACTAGTTTCAGGTGTACAATTCCATAATATGTCATCTACACACACAATGTTACTTTTAAAGAATAGCACCCAACAAAATCATTTTATAGAAGTAAATTGGATCATGCTTAATTGTAGCTTACGTTTTCTATCACTTCATTTTGTTCCTTGGACAAAATATAAGCACAGTATATATATATATATATATATATATATATATATATATATATATATATATATATAATTGATTTTTTTACAGAGAGGAAATGTGAGAGATAGAGAGCTAGAAACATCGATGAGAGAGAAACATCAATCAGCTGCCTCCTGCACACCCCCTACTGCCCGCAATCAAGGTACATGCCCTTGACCGGAATCAAACCTGGGATCCTTCAGTCCTCAGGCCGACGCTCTATCCACTGAGACAAACCAGTTAGGGCTAAGCTCTAGTCTTTACAGGTTAGTCTCTGTGAGTCTGTGTTTTGGTTTGGCATTGTCCGGTGCACCAAAAGGTTGCTGGTTGGATTCCTGGTCAGGGCACACACCCAGGTTGCAGCCTTCATCCCAGGTGTGGAGTATGCAGGAGGCAGCTGATCAATGTCTCACTCTCACATCAAATGTTTCTCTCTCTTTCTCACTCTAAAAATCAATAAAAAAAAAAAAAAAAAAAAAAAACTTAACACACACACACACACACACAAAAAAACAACTCTGGAAATTTAGGTTGGTTGATAGCCAGAGTCCCGATAATATTCTTTCAGAGCCCCATGTTGCTGGTTGTTGCATCAATTTTATAATGAATGAATGAGATTATTCAAGAGTAATAGACCATTTTTTGAGGCAAAAGGGTGCTTCAGTGGGTCAGGCATGGTGGCCAGTTATCTACTATTAAATATTCTGCAAGGTACAGCAGTGAAACTGGGGTACCGAACTTAGAACAGATTCTTAATAGGTAGAGTTGAGACAGAAAGCAGAGAACAGGTGCTCAAATTTTCAAGGATGAAGGGAAATTCCCAGAAAGTCAAAAACAACATGGGAGATTGTAGTGTGACCTTTATGCTTAAGAGACAGCTAAGATGGCTATTATCTTCTCAGCTTTAAGTTGTCACTCTCAGTGCTACGGGTAGAATCTGGCACTGCTTGCTATCAAACCACTTCAGGGAGCTTGTTAAAAACTTAAGATTCCAGAGCTTAGCCCAGACCACGGTTCATTAAAATTTTACATATTCCAGGAATCTGCATTTCTAACAGTTCATGCATCTAGTACAGGATGGAAGTTTGGGAATCAGTAGTATCTGCTAACCTCATCTGTGAAAGCTTAACTGTTACAGTGCACACTCACTGAAAACTCACCATAAGCCAGAGGCATTTCTAAGCACTTTACATCTGTTTATTTTATTTAAAAATTCCAACAAGTTTACCATGTAGATATTATTAACACTTTCTACTTAAGACAAAGAAATTAGGTAACAGCCAAAACTGGTTTGGCTCAGCAGTAGAGCGTCGGTCTGCGGATTGAAAGGTCCCAGGTTCGATTCCGGTCAAGGGTATGTACATTGGTTGTGGACACATCCCCGGTAGGGGGTATGCAAGAGGCAGCTGGTCAATGTTTCTCTCTCATCGACGTTTCTAGCTCACTATCTCTCTCCCTTCCTCTCTGTAAAAAATCAATAAAATATATTTAAAAAAAAAAGAAATTAGGTAATAAAGCTGACACCTGAGCACAGGTAGTCTGATAAGAGAGCCCATCAGGAGAAAGGAAAAGTAAACTTTTTCCTTCAGTTCTTCACTGCAATTCTATCCTAGATGTTGTTAACCTGTCATCATATGCTTATCATATGCTCTGATGCTGGTGATATATTTTAATGAAAACAGGTAAATTAAAATTGAATAATTTCAGTTTGGCAAACAAAACATTTTACAATGTTGTCATAAAAATATATAATGGAAGTCCTTACTGGTACAAGTTGCAAATAATTCCTATAGACAGCCTCACATTTACTGCTATTTCTCCCATTTTCTTACTTGTAAGATTAGATATGAGCTTAACTAGGAAGTTGATCATTTCAAAAAACAAGAAATGTACAGTCACCATTTTAACCATTAAATTCGATATCTGAATACTTACATTTAATTCATTTTTTAGCATTTCTTCGAGATGATGACCTACATGCTCTTCATCTTCTTTGGTGTCCATAACTATGCAAATGTGTTGTGAAATTCTTTCTGAGATACAAAATTTAAAAAGAAATAAGTTTTAAATATAATATGGAACAAAATCCTAGTATACTGAAAACTATGCTTCCCTGCTGATCATAGATACTGAACAAGAAGAGGAAGGTGCTAACTTTCCTCTAAGGGCTAAGTGGAGTGACTTGGACTACACACTGAGATGTCCTTGACTCTTTTAACCCCCAGATCAATAAATATATCTATTTTATACTTTGCGGGTAGCTAACCAGGACATGTATAAGCAACAGAAATAAGAAATTCGAGAATACATATGAATGGGAGTAACTGGCTTGTCGATTCAATCTTTCCACGTTTAAAAAGTCTTACAGGTTCTGAAAAATCCCATCTCCCAGGCAGATCTTCTCTAGGCTCTATTTCCGGTGTGTAGCTCACTGTGCCACCTAGTGCCCTGAGTAAGTACAGGATTCCCCTTGGCATTCCTCTTAATTTAACTTAATACAAATAAGTTCTTACCACTTAACCATTACCACAAGTGAAAATGCCAAATGAATTTTCTTCAAATTTGGAAGGCTTATTTGACATGATCTTATTTTTAAAACATAAGCTATATGGCATAGTGATATTCACTGCTGTAAGTCCTCAATGCACTCTCCCAAAAGATGTGCAGTCTTGCTCTACAGTAGACAGGTCTGACATACTAAGAAATAGCCAAATTGCTGCCAGTCAAGGAGATAGTGCATGGTATTATGTCATGGATGAAGGGGAAAATTGTAATTTTAAACAGAAATCCCAAATCAAAGTTAGTTTGATTAACATTTGACCCAGCTGCTTCTCACATGGGCAACTATAGGCAACATGCCTTAAAAAATCATTGATCTGGAAATAATGATTCTTCCAAGCATAGTTGGGGAGGACAGACCATTTAAAATAATATCATCACAAGTTAGTACGTAATACTCATTACTAACTACCTCCCACCTATCAAGAATATTATAGTAAATGTTTAGAGAAATTTGGACTGTGTCATGTCCTAGCAAAAATTCAGACAGATTTTCAAATGCCTCTCACAAAAATTCAGACAGATTTTCAAATGCCTTTTATGATTAATTTTTTTAATTATATGGGAATAGTAAAGATGGGATTTTGATGATTAAATGAATTATATGTATAAAGTTATGTAGAGTGCCTCTTTTATAAGTAATTCCCAATAAATCACAGGGTAACTACTTTTGTTGTCATGGTGACATATATTCAGTGATAACTAAATAAAATTCCTTTTGTCTATACAAAACATAACCCAACTCTAACTTTAAACTGTCCCTTATGGTTTAATATTTCAGAGTTGGATAAATAATACTCTCAACTTTGTCCCACTAAGGCTTCTTTTCAAATTTCAAAGTTTTACCAAATATGTAGTAGTTATGTGTAATAATGGAATATTCATCTTGAGTAATAAATAATCCCATTTTTATCCCTGAATTCCTTTTAAAATTAACATGGATACCTCCTACTTATGACTATTTACATCTTGGGTTGTTCATTAGATACAGGTTGAAGCATCCTATGTGAATTTTATTAATAATTCCACAAATTCACCCTGACAATCTAAACAGGGAATGTTAATGTACTTAAGGTCTTCATCAAAAAAAGATAACAGCAATGACTATATATGTGCCATACATCTGAAAGGCCAAAATGAAAAAGAATGTAGCCATAGGAACAAGGTTAAAATAAACTGAACCTCTTCAATTTATTGCCCAACTAATAGAGAAAAAATTTATGTAACTCTTAAAACTTTTTTTTCAAGAAGCACAAAACTCTTTCCAAACATAACATGATTAATGCTCATTGTTTCTCAAAGCAATGTCTTTAACATCCTCCTTGAGGTTAATGATGAAATCAAAACAAAAAATAGATGCCTTTAGAATTCTTAATCTGTGATTGCACTAATACAGCACGTCTTAGAAATTTTTAGAGGTTAAGATAAAACAAAAGCACTGGTGAGAACTATAAAATCATGTTACTTCCCAGAATCATAAAAACCCTAACAAAGAATCTAGTCTTTGTTCTCACCCCTGAAAAGATTTAAGGATAAATTAGAAAAAAATCTTGGAATTAACATTAAATCCTAACTGACCTGTCAACTTGATGACTAATGTTAAACCTTAAGTTTTCATTTTCACACTACCTTCTAGCTTTTGAAAATATTCCTAAAAGGACACTTGTGGCACATGATAAAATACTTTGATAATTAAACAATTAGGATATATCCTTCCCCAAAAATGAAAAATATTTTAAAATATACTCTCTAATTGAAACTGTATAACTCTTCATTTATATACAGCATCTGAGTGTCATATACCTCAGTGTGACTTAACAGAGAGAAACCTCAAACTGGAACAGGCCTTGAAGTCTACAGGTTGGTATTAAATCTGTAAGTATTAACTAATAAGTTCACATTTTTCAGTTAATATCTTATTCCCATGCATAAGTGGCCAAGGTATTGTGCACAACTGCCAGTGCATCTTCTCCCGTGCCCTATATCTGCTGGGTATATGTTCCAAGACATCCAGTGGATGCCTTAAACCACAGATATACCAAATATATATATATATATATATATATATATATATATATATATACACACCATTGGTAAAGTTTCATTTATAAATTAGGCATAGCAAGAGATTAACAGCAACAATAATGATATAATCAGTGCTTTAAAGAATTTGTCAGATAATCTCAACATCTATGTCATCCCAGCATGGGTATCTATTGGTTGACCTTTCCCATGTGAGTTTAGGATTACCTGATGGTTTGTATGCAAAGTGATATTGGATTATAAAATTTGTATTTATAAAAGCCTAAGTGACCAAATGACTGAACAACCAACCGGCCAATCGGTTGCTATGATGCACACTGATCCCCAGGGGACAGACACTCAATGCACAGGATCGGGCTCCCTCCTGCCTCCATCAGGCCTGCGGGGATCTAGCTGAAACCGGTTATCCGACATCTCCTGAGGGGTCCCGGATTGCGAGAGGGTGCAGGCCAGGCCAAGGGACCCCAACAGTGCACAGATTCATGCACCAGGCATCTAGTACTGTAATGAAAGTTACATGAATGTGTTCTCTACTTTCTTCTGTCTCCATGTTACTGATGAGAAATATATAGTTATTCAAATTATTGCTCCCCTACAATCATTTCTGATGACTTTCAAGATTTGTATTTATTTTTCAGCAGTTTGATTATGAAGTATCTGGTGTGGATTTGTATGAGGTTAGCATGTTGGAGTTAACTGAGCTGCTTGAGTCTGCAGATTTATGTCTTTAACCAAATTTGGGAATTTTTTCATCTATAATTTCTTCAGGATTTTTCCCCTCTACTGCACTTTCACCTCTCCTTATAGGATTGAGATGATCTGTTACTTTCCCACATATGATGAGCACTATTCATTTCTATCTTCCAATCTCTTTTAATTCTGCATTTCAGACTAAAAAAATCCTGAAGATCGAATTAACTTCACTAATACTTTCTCTGTCAACAACAGTCTGTGTGTGTGTGTGTGTGTGCTTTTATTTTGGTTACTGTATTTTTTTTTTCAGTTCTAAATTTCCATTAGGCTCTCCTGTATGTTTTTTATGACTTTGCTGAGACTTTCCATCTTTCATTTCAAAAGCATTCCCATAACTGTCTAACTACTATGCTGTACAACTGAAGCTAAAACAAAATAATATTGAATGTAACCTGTAATTGAAAAAATATATATTTTTAATTTTAAAAAAAGCATTTCTGCTTATTTATTGTAGCATTTTTTATAATCAGTGCTTTAAAGAATTTGTCAGATAATCTCAACATCTATGTCATCCCAGCATGGGTATCTATTGGTTGACCTTTCCCATGTGAGTTTAGGATTACCTGATGGTTTGTATGCAAAGTGATATTGGATTATATCCTGTATGCTTGGATAACATCCTCCCTTACCAGAGTCTCTCCTGTACATTCATTTCTCTAATATATCCCTTTTCAGCATTCCATGATGTTTTTTCATAAGTGTTTAATTCCAGTATTATTTTAACTAAAGTCCATCTACATCTAATAGTTTACAAATTAGACCAAAATTTCATGTGTAATATACTAATTTATTGAGTTCCTCTTAAAGTATTCAGTCTTTGTTCAAGGATTAGAAAATAAATGCAATGGGTCTTTTCATTTAACTTCACAAAACAACATATACAATTTCTAAAATGTCATAGGACAGACACACTGACCCATTAACATGGAGAAAAAATATCTAGACATTTGCCTCCATTAATTGATCATCATTAGAAACTCATCAGTGCTCAGGATGGTATTTGCATTTTATAAGAAATTTTCAAATAGCATGGAGGAGAGATAAATTTAAATACTATATTAGTTCTACAAGCAAGTGAGAAAAAAATCCAGAAGTCGGCCTGCTATTTTCTTAAAATCATTAAATCATTTAACACCATATCATCCATAAGATCTCATTATACACTATACGGACCTCTCTCTTTTTTTTTTTTTTTGGCCTTGAAACTTACTTATTTATTTATTAATTTATTATTTTGGTCCTTTTTTTTAAACATTTTTATTGATTTTTTTTTTTTAGAGATAGATAAAGGAAGAGGGAGAGAGACATCCACATGAGAGCAAAACATTGCCCTGACTGGGAATCTCACTGGTAACCTTTCAGGGCCTAGGACAAAGCCCAACCAATTGAGCCACACCAGCCAGAGCTCAAAAGCCAATCTTAAGAGTCTATTTTCTGTCTCATGTAAAAGTTTTTAAAGTAGCATTATTAAACAGAACCACCACTATTGAAGTCCCTGACTCAGTCTCACCTGTAAGTAGATGCCTAAGGTTTCTCTGAACACCTTGACAGAGGGAGCTATTAGAACAGGAAGAGGGGCAGCAAGGATTCAATAAACCAAAAGCAGCCAATAAGCCTGACTACTGGACAGGGGGACAACAGGGCCGGTAGACAGAATCACAAGAAAACCATACATCCC